CTGTCATTGCCTTGAAAGACCAGATACTGTTATTCATACATTCCTTATGTTTCTTTTATTTTACATGGACCAGCGCTTCCTTTGACTCAACTATAAAACTATGGGACGTGGAACTAGGGAGACTTCTCTACAGCTTCAATGGCCACAGGTAAATATTCGATAATTTTAGTTTGTTGCATGGCATTTTTCTAAGAAATTCTATATGAGATCTATGAGGTGCTATTTACATTCCACAAAGAACAAAGAGGTGGTACTGATTTGTTTGCTTCAAAATGAGACTGTTATGTTAGTTGTGATTCGCAAACTACTGACATTGTCTGTATGGCAAATCCTAGGGATCCGGTATACTCCGTTGCATTCAGCCCGGATGGCGAGTACTTGGCCAGTGGATCTATGGATAAATGTATGCACATATGGTCCGTGAAGGAAGGCAAAATTGTAAAAACATACACGGGAAATGGTGGGATATTTGAAGTTTGTTGGAACAAGGAAGGTGACAAGGTCGCTGCTTGTTTTGCTAACAACGTAGTATGTGTTGTGGATTTCCGAATGTAGATTTTCAACCTTTATGTTCACTATCATTTTATTATTATTTTCAGTTTGGATAGATTCCCATTCATCAGTTGGGGTAGATTCCCATTCATCTTTAAATGACAATGAAGAGCTTTCTTTCTATGTTATGTTGTGCTAGTGAAATTTTTTTATTTTTTATTTTTCACTTGTGCTATTGAAATTCGATCTGCATTTAAGAATGTGAAGATTTGTTAAGAATGTAAAATCTAAACATAGAATATTCTAATATTTATATCTCAATATAATAAGTCTTAAATTTCTTCCCTGATTACCAATTAACTTTGGATTGTATACTTTAAATATGATATCAAAACGGTTGATTTATTCAGGTGTCAATTAATATAATTAATTCACGAATTAAGTCGTGGGTCACGCATGAGGTGTATCAGAGAATATAATATGTTTTGACGGATACGAACATTGCAAGTGAAACAAAAACCAGGAAAAGTTAAAAATAAAAATGAGAAACTGTGATTTACAAACATCATTTCTACAGCGATTGAAAACATGAGGAATATTACAAGCTTTCACAACTCAACATTCCCAGTGAAAGCAACCAAATGCACTCAAAATGTTATCCTAACTTCTGTCATAATCAACAAATAATCTAGCAAAGTGAAAGAAATTTTAAACGCTAGTGGGGACTATCTAAGCAACACCATTGAGATTGAGACCCTACAAAAAATATATATCCAAGCATACATCACAACCATTCGTCTTGAAAAACTCGAGTTGAAAAACCCCTCGTCTTGCAGCTAAAACCTATTCTTCTTGTACTTAAATAATCATTCTTTCAGATCTTCAAAATAATCCGTTGGTACTTCTGGAGGAGAAGATATGGTTGCCACGCATTTGAACTGTATCCAAAAACAACACAATTCCCATAATCTCTATTCTCTATAGCGTGGACAGTAAAAACAAAGTCTGTAGGTAAACATTTAGCCAAAGTACCTTATGTGATTTGTACTTTCCTCTTATCGATTGTAAAGTTGCTCCTCTTTTACTCCGATGCAAGTCGTGTATGATAAGGACGCATTCCCTCAAATCAGCCGGTTTGTATCCGGAATATTGTTGCAAGGACAGTGTCTGCAAAAAGCAAGATTAACTCAGCAATTTCCTTCAATACTTGTTAAACAATTTTACAGTGTCTCTAGCAAGTTCTTACCCAAGGATGAGACTTCGGCCGGATCATAAATCCTGCGAGAAATGTAACAGACGCAGCCACCAATGAGGGCAAAAACTTTACGCACTCGTACTCTAACAAACTTAACTCTGCAAGGTAGTAGCCCAAAAATTCTAACTGCAGATTAGGATCCTGTAAAAAGCACAAAGCAAGTAATTAGCTTATTGTATGTATTACATATTTAGCTCAATTGGCTGTGAGAGAGAGGTTTTGCATACTTTGTAGCTCTCTTGAGTCACTCTAGCAAATCTCCTGCAAACCAAAATGAGAAGGAACATTAATCAGTCCGATATGTTTACAACGAAGCATCATAAGTGCACATGATCAAAAGTGTCCAAGCAAAAAAGTATGCAAGCATTGCCCTTACTCCTTACCTTAGTATTGTCTTTATTGTAGGATTTCCCAAGTTGAACTTTAAGGCCTTGAGTATATCAGCTTCCATTTTTAACACCTATACAATGCATACAATGAACAAAAGTATTAATCTAAAGTACTACAATAATAAAAGCGAGGGTGATTTGAAAATATCAATCTAAGATGAGAAAGAGAATTATAAAAATCACCTGGTCCTTATCATATGTATTATCTGTGATGTAACAAAATTGTTCCACATGTGGAGGGCTGATCTCCTCATACTTTCTGTTTACCACATTAACAAGATTACTATGTGGATTCATATTAGTAAGAAAATATTCACACAAAAATTTCATTGACTTGCGGACTTACGAGGCAATGAGCATTGAAGAAACACCCAGTAACTGAAGCCTTTTGCGGTTGAGAGCTTTCAAAGATAGGTATCTATCAATATACAGAACGGTGAGGAAAAGAGTGTCGGAAAGGAGCTTATATTCCTCTGCAACTTCCACCAACCAGTCTACTAAGATTCCTCTCATATTAGAAGTGATGTCCTTTTGAACCTTTGTCATGTAATCAGGTAAAGGCCTTCTATCTGGATCCGCCTGAATGTAAACCCATCATCACCGTTAGCCTATTTGCTCAAAACCAAAAATGCTATAAACTCATGTACCAGTTTTGACTTCAGACCAAGACCCTAATGCCACCAACCATTCTCAAATACCAATACCTACCCATTATGAAAAATAAACCCCAAATTCCAATTCAAACAAAAACCAAAAACACAGAGACGACAAAAATTCCTAAATAAAGCTTGGCTTTTGGCTAATGAGGAAAACCCAAAATAACATAACTAAACACCACAACGCTTCAGTCTTTATCCTAAATTCAACTTTCAGAGCAACGAGAACGCATTAAAAATCTAAATTTGGCAATACCCAACTACCATTTTTCCAATAAATTCCAATATCAGACAAGATAAATACGATTTGATAAGCCTTACCTCGAGCTTGTGAAGATAATCATAAATGTCACGAGCATAAGGCCCACACATTTGAGGGTCATCCGACGTGGAATCAATGTCCGGCGTCGTAGGCGTCTCCGTTTTCTTCTCGGGCAGTGCTTTCTTCGCCTTGGCTGTGGCTCCGCGTTTCTGCACCTTCGGCTCCACCGCAAAACTTTTGTTATTCCCCGGAACGACGGCGTTTTGGAGGGTGTGGAGCTCTCCTAAGACCACGCGTTTCTTGGTGGCCGGCTGCTCTTGGCCCACGGCAGCTTCGGCCCTCCTCTTCATTGACCTTGTGACCCGGGCGCAGTTCTCCTTCTCCGCCATGGCCCTATCGAATCTGTGAGTGTCGAGGTTTTGTTTGGGTTAGAGAGAGAGAAAGGTTTTGAGGGGTGAAAGAGAAAGAAGAGAGTTTTGTAGTGAGTAAAATGGGAGCGCCACTTTGAAAACTAAAGTTGGCGCCTTTGGGTTTCTGTTTTAATGTTTTCGGATCCATTTTGGTTCCCTGCTTTGAAGTGCTTCAATTTTGAAATTTTGGAATGTGTTTGCCATTTATTTATTTTTTCACCGCCGTACATCTTTTCTCGCGTTAGTGACTCGCTGATCACGCGGTTTTTTATCTTTCCTTTTTTACCCTTATCGATAAAATAATAAAATTAAAACATTTACAACTAATTTTTCACTAATTAATATAAATTTTACGCGTATGATTTTTTTTTCTTCTAAAAATGAAACACTTTGCCAAAACTTATTTATTTTTAAACAATTGAACATTTTAGTCCTTCCTACACCCCCACATGTTTCGTCGACCTCTTAAAAAATTTGAAAATTAGTAAGAGTTAAATTGAAAAGTTTAAAAAATACGAATATCTTAAAGATTAGATACAAGAAACGAAAAGCAATCTACAAACTTTGCTTCTTTTTTTTTTTTGGTTACATACAAATGCAAAACACGAGGAAGAAAGAAAAAAGGCCGTTTGGTATCTTACTCAAGTAAGGAACTCAAAAACTTTGATTTTTCTTAAAAACAATGAGTTCTTAAATCTATTTTTAAGATTCAAACACTTGTTTAGTATCCAACTTGAAAACTATTTTCAAATCTTAAAAATTTGAGAACTTGTGGGTTGTTAGAAAAAAACTGAAAAATTACTTATTTTTTGTTTTTAATAATTATGGTATTTTTTAGTTGTTTTTGAGTTTGAGTTTTTAAAAATAAGGTTACCAAACAGGTTTTCTTTGTTTTTTACTCAAATTCTGTTTTTGAGTTTAAAAAATTGGATTCAAGTTAAATACCAAACAGACTCTAAATTTCCCCCTTCCCCGTATTTGAATGTTGGTCATTGTCTTTTGCATCACTTCTTAAGTTTTTTGCTTTCGATTAGTTTCCTATTTTCACATTCATTTTAATATCCCTACTTCCCATCCTTAACTTTTTGTGTTTAACTTCATTGATAGATCGAGAAATCAAAGATGGCATTAGTTTCCTATTCTTAATCTTGTTTCTAGTTGAATTAACTTACTTTCCTCCCCCATACCTTGTATTAGTATTTCACATCATTCCAAATTGATGTGAAGGTAACAAAACTTGACCAGCAATTTCACTGCACAGTCCAAACTTAACCAGCAAGGATATAAAGGTAACAAAACTTGCAAATTTCCATCAGGACACTGCCTGTAAAACATATGCAACCTGGGGTGGGGAGATAATTAGCTTTGTCAATGAGAGGCCTGATTCTGGAAAATCAGAGAGTTCTGAAAGTAAACATTCTCATTAATTATTAACATGACAGTGTTACAGTATATATAGGCTACAAGATTAGCCCTCAGCTAATGTAACTGATGTAACAAGTATTTAACTTAAATAAAACTAACAGTAAACTCCTAGTTAACCTAACCACAAAAGTAAATTATAGCCGCTGTCCTGGCTGTTTCAGTTTGACAACAGCAACACTCTTCTCGTGCGTCATTTGTTACGTCTGTGGCTAAACAAATGCAACCCAGCTGTTAAGGTGATCAAGCAATCATGTATATTTTGTTTGTCGGCACACTACGGTTAGATGCCATGCACCCATCGTTGCACTTGCACCACATCGGGTGGAAAGTTTACAGCATCAGTCTGCTTAAGTGCGACCCTTTGGGTCAGCTCATTTGGTTCACCACCAGACCATACCCTGCATCACAGCTTACTCAGTTTGATCTGCGCTAGCTGAAGTGTATTTGCTGAATGATAATATAGAACCAGCTGCTTCCCAGAAATCCAACACAAAGGTCAATCAAGTTGTAATCTGGCGCAAAGCAGAATGATGCCCCATCCTCACCCAATAGCAATTGGCAAACATCATCAGCCCTCGCCGTTAACCCTCCAATCAATCAAGCACACCCAATAAAACTTATATCCAGACCTTACTATCACATTGGACAAGCCCTTGCCACAAGGATTGTACGTTCATGTTTTCAGATCTTCAAATAAAGAAGCTGGTATATCTTGAGGGCAAGGAGTGTGTGCCACACATTTGAACTGCGTTAAAGAAAAAGGACTCCATTAGAACCATGTTTTGCATTTCTAAAATTTGGAAAAAAAGAAAAGGTCAAACCTACTTCTGATAAACAATACCTTAAGTTGTTTGTATTTCTCTTGAATAACATTCAAATTTCGTGCTCTTCTACCCAAGCACATGTCATGTATGGCAAGAACACATTCTTTCAAATCAGCTGCTTTATATCCAGTATACTGTTGCAGGGCTGGACACTGAAATGGATACGACTTAGTAATTGCTTTCAGACATTGAAATCAGCACAAGTAATTTATCAAACCCTTACCCAAGGATGTATTTTTGTTCTAGTCATAAATCGTGCCAGAAAAACAACTGATGCAGCTACCAAAGAAGGCAGGAATTTCACAAGTTTGTAATCCAATAAACTCAGCTCAGCAAGGTAGCAAACCAAGAACTCTAACTGCAAATTGGGAGTCTGTAAACCACACAAAACAATAAAGCAGTCAGTATGAGAGACTATAAACTTGGTAAGCCCACATGTGTGTGTGAGAGGGCAAGGGGGAAGCTTACTTTGTAATTCTCTTGAGCAATATCAGTGAATTTTCTGCAAAACAATCAGTCATAAGTCATTTAAGCTTGGCAAGTAATTACATTACCCAATCAAAACAGAGTATTTTCATTGTCAGCACCATCCTTACCTTAAGAATGTCCGAGTAGTAGGATTGCCCATTTCAAATTTCAGGGACTTGAGAATGTCGGCCTCCATCTTGATCACCTTTACAACCCACCGAAAAATTTACTCTTAGTATAAAGCAAATGCATCTATCTGAGGTATAAATAGATCATTTTCAGGGATAAAACCCCAAGTAAAACGTCAAATACCTCTTCTTTTGTATACGTATTTTCTGTTATGTCACAGAGCTCATCCACATTTGGAGGAGTAATCTCTTCATATTTCCTATAAATTAAGAAATCATGAAAATGTAAGAATAATACTATAGTAACTTCACATCATCAGAAGAAGAAAAACAGTTGTACCAATCAGACGACAGATTCAAAGATTTGTGAGCTTACGATGCAATGAACATTGAAGCAACTCCCAGTAGCTGAAGCTTCTGCTTATTGACCACATTGATCGATAGATACTTATCGATATAAGAAACGGAGAGATGAAGAGTGTCTGGAAGGAGCCTATATTCCTCTGCAACCTCCACCAGCCAATCCACAAGGACCGCTCTCATATTAGCATTAGCATCTTTCTGAACCTTCTCCATGTAATCAGGCAACGGCCTTCTCTTTGGTTCCACCTAAAGAAACCAACCCATTATTCACGGTGAGCCTAATCCCCAATTGACAAAACATTAAACCCTAATTTAGAGAATTCACAAAACTACCATACCCAGAATCAAAATTAAACCCAAAATCCTACCAATTGGATCTTAATGCTTTATAGCCAATTTCACCATCAAAATTGAAACCAAAAACCTTTTTCCCAATATCAATTTTAAGTTGAAAAGTCCAAAACCGTTCTGATTATCAAATGAAGAAATCAAAATATGAAGAAACAAAGATGGGATCTTTGTACCTCCATCCTACGAAGATAGGCATAAATGTCCGAAGCATAAGGTCCACACAGTTGCGGATCCTCAATGTCACGTGTTGCTACGGCCTTCTTCTCCTCCTTCTTGATTGCACAATTCGGTTTCTGCAACTCACCATAAGATTTATGGTTGTCCGAAACGACGACTTTGACCAAATTCGTAACATCTCCAAGCACCGCGCGCTTCTTGGTAGCCAGCCGGTGCTCCTCAACCAAGGCGGCCATCGCCCTCCGCTTCGCCGCAGCACGAGTGGTGATGCGATTACAGTTCAGTTGCTCGGCCACGGTGGTAGAAGCCATTGCTCTGCACTGGTCGAGCTTTGGTCTTTACTTGCTATCGTGGCTCGGGTTGGACTGTGAGAGAGATAGAGAGAGGGAAAGCAAAGCGCAGAGTTTGAGGTGTAAGACTCTGAGCGGTGATAGCAATATGTAGTGAGAATGAAAGAGAGGGTGGGTTTTGAAGTTTTGAGAGAGAAAATAGAGCGCCATGCTCAACTCTGCTTCGAAAATTTGTGCTTTTGGCGCTGTTTGATTTGACGTGAATTTTTTAGTTGCAACTAAAATTTGGAGATTTTGGATTTTGGAGCGTTTTATTTTGTTTTCTATTATTTTTGGAGCGTTTTGTCGTTCCCCTGGACAAAATTGAAATTTTGGGAATTACTCTGTGTGGGGCCGGGTTTCCACGTGACTTTTATTTTCGATGAACCAAATTTGAAAATTTTGGGTCGTTTTATTTTTTTTTTGAAGTTAAAATTGCGCGCTTAGTAAATCTAAACTGTTTATTTTTTTGGTCTGAAAAATGTTTGGGTTAAAAAGTTCGAAACTTTCGTAGGGTATAAAGATTTGGTACTAGGCGGGTCCCTTTTTAGGTGTTTTGGTTTGGTACTTGGGCGGGATAGTTTTGGCTTCGGTTTTCTTTGGAAAGTGATATTTTGATTTCAATTTGGACCGTCAAATTTTAAGTTTAACCCCAAAACATCAAAATCAAGTCAACCCAAAGCACAAAACAATTATGGGCAATAACAATTATGCTTCATCCCATAAATATAATTTCAATGGTGTTATTTATGAAATGATTTCGTATGATACTAATTTGAGTTATAATTTTTAGAAATTAATCGGTAAATAAGTGATAAGAAGAAAATATTGTAATTCATGTGATAAGAAGGAAACATTATAAAGACAAGTTGTGCATCTACCAAAATCACCATATTAACCAAGAAATAACATAGATTTATTTCGCTTATTACATGGCAGAGACGGTCTTACGTCCATGTTAACATGGGCTATAGCCTAGGCGACTTGATATTTTATAGTCCAATATTAATACTCAACTCACCAAAGCACACCTCCACACACCCCATCCTAGTGATCCCACCTACAGAAAATCTCTCTTTTTTAACCTTTTCTAGTGCACATAAAAATGTCAATTCATTTTTTTTTTTCCTTATAAATTTTGGCTACTTCTTCTCATTGTTATTTTTCAAGTTGGTTTGGATGGATTAAAATGTTTTTTTTTTCTTCTTCTTCTTTTGTAATGGATAATAAATGCTTTCAATTATTTTCCTTTCATGAAGAAGTTTATCATGTAATTGTTAATTGACTTTAAAATTCATACTTTAGTGATTACTGTCAAAAATTCTAAGTTTGTATGTAAGATAAACTTAGCCCACCCTATTTTCATATCCTGAGTCCGTCCCCGTTACATGGGGTATATTAATTACGTTTATTATTGCGATAAGCTATTAATTTATTATAATTTATACATTAACATGCAATTGTTGTTCAAAGTAAAGCTTAACACTCTCAACGTGGCCAAAATTGAAAAAAGTGTAGGTCTAGCAGCGCTTCCCTCAAAGTAATGCAAGAGAGCCCAACCTCGGGTCAACAATTGAAATCAATCAATTAGAGTAAAGTGTTCCAACAACATTACACCAAACCTGTATGCATCTCCTGCCGTCGGTTTTTGTCCAAAACCATACTCTACATTGTAGTTCAATCTCAAAATCAGCAAACTAAAACCAACCATAGTAATTAATCGCTACCGATTATCAACCTACAATACTTGAGCAGCTTATAAAAGATTAATTATGTATATAGAAGCAGCCAGATGATCATCTTTTATGGTCATAGAAAAGATTGAGTCTCTCGTATGGAGAAAACATGATAAGAGCTACATCAACATCACAAAGAACACAGAGTTCATAGGCTTTCTTGACAAGCCTCGAGAAAATGACTTGTCTATATTAGTCGTATTCTCAATCCCTCTTAATTTGAAGCTTCACTCTCCCCATTCCTTTAATTTATTCCTAAACTAGCTTTTACAAAAATAAGTAATTAATTAATTAAATAAATTTAAAAATAATAATAGCTCTTGCACCTTTTCCTTTTATATTTTGTTATTTTGGGAAACCTAGCAAGATACATGTATGAGAAGGTAACCAATATGATAGAGAAATAGGATGAATCTTTATCTCTCACTCACATATATACCTCAAAATATAATTACATGTATGAACCAAAATATAAGTCATGAGAAGAAAACTAAATGAGGAAGATAAGAACATCATCTGACTAGAGTTTTTTTTTTTTTTTTTTTTGGGTACCGTCAGTTATAAGAGTTTTGTCATTGTCATGTCATATGATCATATACACAATATACATATCAAACTAAATATATTAAGTATAACAAACATTTTGTTCTTGAGGAAAATTGTATTTCATTTATTTTTATTGAGTTATTAATAAATTGAGTTTATTTTTTTAATGCTTGCAATGGTTGAGTCTACACTCGGGAAAAATGGGAAGCTGGGGGATAGGCCTCTAAATGTGTAGCTTGTTGTTTGTAAGAGCAATTCCACTAGTGAGTCCTTGCCAAGGCAGAAGGGGGCCCAAGCCCCATTTCGGCATTCCAGCGGGCCTAAGCTGCCCGGGCAGCAGCTGGGTCCTAGCAAACTGGCCCAGCCTAAAGGCAAGAACAGACTGTGCTTGCTGACATCAGCGATGACTTCAGCACCAAAAAAAAAATTACAAAAAATTTCAGAATTTGTTTTAAATAAATATTTAGTCATATTCTTTACTTTCTATACCAAAGCTCTATACAAATTTCTCTCCTCATATCTTTTGTGAATAGTGGTTGCCCTTGGGTTATTATAGCAATGGATGGAAACACAACAAGCCTTTTGCAAGGATTATCATTATTCATGCGAATAGTAATAGCCCTTGCCTTGCCTTACCTTTGCTCTTCACCATGGCAAATTGGTGGAAGTGCTCTAATCGGTGTTTGTTTGGCACCAATAAGTATGCTTTGAAATTCTAAGTTTGCTTTTGGCTGAGGGTACCAAAAACAAGTGAAACATATATTTGCAGCTTATTTACACCAATGGCCCTTGAAACTATAGTCAAATCTCACTTTGCCCTCCCAAACTTAAAATGGCCCATTTATTCCGCTTGACCGTGGTTTGGTGATCCACTTTGCCCCATGTTGTCAACTTCATCCAAAACTCTATTAAAACCGATGACGTGATATGGGTGTTTGTGTAATTTTGGACCTATGGTTCATTATTCACCAATTGAGTGGATGATATGACAAATGGAGGCCTCCACATAGATTAAAAAATAATTAAATATTTTAATAACTAAAAATTAAAATTAAAATTAAAAGAAAAACTCAAAAACCTTCCTCCTATCCTTTCATCCATGCACCCCAAACCCAAACCCACACCCATCTACAGTCGCCACCACTCCACCATCCCCTTCCACAAACCCAACCCCACCCGGCACCTTCAATCACTAGCACGACAGTGGATTGAGCTTGCCCCCAAAATCCCCAAATTAAAATTTGCCAAAAATGAAGAAGTCGACAGAGACAGGGTGGGGGCAAGATCTGATTTTCTGGGGTACCCGAGCAGATCTTGGGGTGGGGCGCGATTGTTTGGGAGTCAAAGTTGTATGGGGCAATTTTGGGTTTTTAAATTGTATGCACTTGTAGGCTGCCATTTTGGATTTGGGATTCAAATGTCCCAGCTACTCAGCCAGCTGAAATGTGCAGCCACTCTTCTAGACTACCATTCATCATGAATTCATGAACCAAAGTTTTGAAATCGTTTCCTTGAAAATCGATACTTGCACACGCGGTCAATAGTTTGACAAGATTTCGGTGCCTAATGTTTTTCAAGGCTTCACATTCAGCTATAAAGCTTTCTCTTGAACTCTGAACATTGAGTACTTTGGCTGCAACAATTCTTTCTTCCTCATTGAGAATTCCCCTGTACACAGAACCAAAACTACCAGCACCAATCAAATTCCGAGAAGACAAACCATTAGTTGCTTTGAGGAGATCTGCATATGACACTTTCAAGAGTGAAACCCCCCATGCTGATCCTGAAGTTGGCTTCACTCTTGCTTTTCTTGATGGATAAAGAAGCACAGAGAGCAATGCTTTTTTTTGATAAATAAAGAAGCACAAAGCACAAGAGTAAACCAAGTCCAATAACTCCCCCAATAGCAATTGATGTAAGTACTTTCCGCCATGGAAATAATTCTGTCTTAGGTTCTTGCTTTGATTGATTGGAGATGCATCGGCGTTGCGGCAATCCTAGCAGAAGTATACCACCACATAGCCTTTTGTTTCCCATGATAGAAGCGCACTTGTATTTTGGAAAACTCCTCTCATTGATATTGTTAGAATTCTCAGTTTGTATATGTATTTTCAGATTAGGAAGAGATGTATTTTCCGGAGATTTCAGCTAGAGAGAATGAAGAGAAATGAGGAAGGCACTGTTCTATTGAATTCTTACAATCTGCAGCTTACATAGTGTGTCTGACAGAGAGAGAAATGTGATTCTCTTCTAACAGAATTACAACTGTCACCCTATTAGGTGCTTACACGTGTCATACCAAATCTAAGCTAGAGAATCCACCTAGACTATGATCTAATGGTTCTCATTACATCATTTAAAATAGACAGAACAGAAAATAGAAAATGACTTCTGCCTAAGAAATCAGGCAGAACATGACTTCTGCTCTAAGAAATCAGGCAGAACAGGATTATATTTCAACACTCCATTCTAATCCTTTAGCTGATTTCACTCCAAGCAAGCTTCTCAACCTCACAAACCGATCCTTAGGCAGAGCCTTAGTCAAAATGTCTGCTATCTGATCTTCTGTCTTGCAGTACACCAGTTCGATTTCTTTTGCTTGAATGGCTTCCCTTATAAAATGAAATTTCCTGCTGGTGTG